GTTGTTGACTTTTATGAATATCGATTGAGGTAAATAAATCAATTGTAGAGGAAAGCTCGAGTGAAAAACTATTATTAGCAAAATATAGTTTTACGTATTCAAAGTCTGTCGTTCGTAAAAACTGCTTATATCTTGTGTTTGTGGTATTGGGTTTCTAATGATATTCATTGATGGAGGACTTTCCGTTTCAAATATCATTTGAAATTCACTAAATGAAAGATGATTATCTTTTTTATCTGGAATGACCAACATTCTAAACCTATCTATATATTTTCCACTCGTTTTAATTTCATATAAGTGATCACTCTTGCTGTTTTCATCGTTAATTTCTAATTCTTTAGTTCTACATTTTCTGTACCATTGATAAACTGAAGAACTTTGCGAGCGTTAAATTGAGAATTAGATGAAAATCTTGGGTTTTGTCTGAAGAATATTGAATCAACTTTTACCTGAAAAGGGAAAGTTATTTCAATTAAAAGTTTTGCTCGGAAAATAAAAGCAGAAAAATCATCTCTAAACATTCTATAGGGATAATTAACTTCCCTATGTTTATATATTTATTGTGATTCCATATTTTTTTCACACTCTTTTGTTCTTTCATCATAATCAGTAATAGAAGCATCGTTTTGTGTCAAACTTCCAAATGGAAGAGTAAAATAATATGATTTATTTTCTTGTTTGAAATGCTTTTCTAATGCGGTTATATTTTTCTCCTGTTTCAAAACTAGGTTATTAATAGTGGTTATCTGTTGTTGAATAACACTATCATCAATGTTCTGTATTTGTTGATGAATATAGGTTTTGATTTCGCTATCATCTATATTTTGTATTTGTTGTTGAATATAGGTTTTGATTTCGCTATCATCTATGTTTTGTATCTGTTGTTTAATATTTCTTAGTTCTTTTTGTAATTCACTGTTAAGTTTAGTTTCCAGAGCATTTAATTCCTGTTGAAACGTATCTTCATCTGGAATGTTATCTATCAATTGTTGAATGTCTAATTTTTGTTTTGCAATCTTATCCTCTAATTTAGATATTAATGAAATTAACTCAGTTTTATTCGTTACGTTGACTAATTGTTCTTCAATAAAACTTTTTAAACTTGTTACTTCTTGTTGTAATTTAGTATCATCAATAAAATCTTTATTATTCATTTGTCGTTTGAAAAATATTTTCACATCATTTATTCTTTCTTTTAAATGGTCTTTATTTACTTCAATTAAATTTAATTGTTCCATTAAATATTTCTTGTGAATGGCATCATTATCGTTTTCTGGAGACTTTAAATTAGTTATGCTAAAATTGTTCATATCTAAATCACCTTGAGGAGTGTCTCCGATTTGATCCACAAAGTAAGGTTTTGCTTTATTTATCCACGCTGTAGTGTTAGGTTTTTTAGTTTCTAAAGATAAAGAACCTAATCCAAACTTATTCGCCATTTTTATTGAGTTGAATTTATTACAATTCT